GGGGGGGGGGGGGTGTTGCGGGTATCCATCTCTTGGTAATCCTTGCCATTTGGTTGACCCCATAACTTTCTGCTTGTATACGTCAAGTGAGTCATGTGTTGTGGCTGCTCACCGACTTCCAGCAAGAAGCGTCGTTGTGCTTCCCGCATGAGTTTTGCAGGTACCCCGGGGTGGCGAAGCGCGTGGTTCAGGTGGAACAGATCTTCAGGGACATCGAGCACATGTGCTTCTTGAGGACCGGAGAGGGCATGAAGTCCGTCATGAAGAACGAGCTCACGGTCGTGGAAGCCTTCATACAGGCAAGGAGTTCCATGTTGTTTGGACGGCAGTGGCTTTGGGATGCAGTGCGGGGCCCCGAAGAACGCTGGTTGAATGGGGACCGGTGGCGCCGGTGAAAGTGCTCGGTACAGACCACAGACACCAAGTCATCCTGTACTCTGAATAACGCTGGTCGCTCTGAATAACGCCGGTCGATTCGACGGGCACATACCGACGTTATTGAGCCCCCCCCGCTACTGCTGTGGCTTGAGATGATGGTGTGCACCTGGATTTTGTGCGTGGCGAGCAAGAGGGGGGTGCAGTACTTGAAATAGGGATTTGTGGAATTATTCGAACGCGAGGGGTTGAGAGGACGTGTGGCTATCCCCGAGCACGTCGGACGTGGGTGTTGCCGTGGTGTGCAGTTCCTTGGCTGTGTTGTGCTCCATCACGCCCTTCATCTTGTGGTCCCATCCCTTTTAGCCACTTGTCCACTTCTTCGCGTCATGGTATTCATCCCTCTCTCTACCTGTTTCTGGCTCTCTCCTTTCTCTTTCTCTCTCTCTCTCTCTCTCTCTCTCTCTCTCTCTCTCTCCGTTCCTGTCCCTGTCGTCTAACAGCTCGCCCAGGAGTCTAATAACGTGCAGCACAAGGAGCTCCACGACGGGGCATCGAGCGACCCGCGGTCGCGGTCCCCATCCCCGTCGTCAGGCTCGGCCGCAACAAACCAACAGCGCCAGCACCAACGGCTGCCGCTCATCTCCTCTCACGCTATCGACGTCGGCTGGTGCGATCGAACCGCCGCCGGCACCAGCAGCGGCGGCAACGGTAGCCTCGAGGGTGAGCGCGAGGCCGAGGCGCGGACGGGGACCGGAGCGAGGGGTGGGCCAACGGTAGTGAGCGCGTGGGCGAGGCCCTCCTCGGCTGATGGCGGCAGCGGCGGCGGTAGCGTGTCGGGGACTACCGGTCAAGGCGGCGTTGCTGCGGCAAGGATTAACGCCGGGAAAAGCGGCGAGGTCGGCGGCCGAGCTGGGGGTCATTGCCAACCTGGGTGTGGGGGGAGAGGTGGGTGGGCGGCAAGGGAGCCGACGGCGGCGGCTGCCGCGGCTGCTGCGGCTGCTGCGGTAGCGACAGTTGTGCGCGGTGTACCGGCACCGGCACCGGCACCGGCGGTGGTTGTGGAGGGTGGGGGCAGGGCCAAGCTCGGGGCGGAGTGGGTGTTGGCGAAGCACGCGGGCTTGATGGCTTCGAACGGCGCCGTAGCTGGTGGCTGCTCTCTGGCTGCAGACGGGCGGTGTAACCGGCTCGGGTTTCAGGGGAGGGGCGGAGGTGTAGGGGCGGGAGAAGGGGAAGCAGGACAGAGATTCGGACGAGAATAAGGTCAGGGGTAGGGGGGGGGGACTGGGGCGCCGGTCGTGCCCGGGTGGTGCAATCGATGCCCTCCGCCCTTGCAACCCCAACGCCGTCGAGGCAGCAGGCCTCCACTAGGCTGTCCGTGCGTCCCCTTGACAGCAACAGCGGCGGGGGCGGCGGGGGCGGCGGCGGGGGTGACGCCGCTGGTGTAGCTACAGTTGCCTCACCAGCAACGTGCCTCGGCGCAACGTCGGCTGGCCTCATCCATCATCACCACTCGAAGCAGGCGCGATTCCGATAGGAACACCGAGGAGGCGTCGCTGGCGACGTGGGGCGGGGGGAGTGCACCACGCCCGGCTGACGGGGAGGGGAGGGGAGACATTTTGACGCTTTTGGTTTCGGCTACTTGGAGGCGGGTGCTTCCCGCACCGACATGGCGCTGGCTGGTACAATAGAGAGCACGGGAAAGGCGGAGTGTGGTATTCCCGGCAGCAACACGACGACGGGACAAACCGCGGGCCTTTTTGATGAGTGTGGGTGATGTGATGGTGGCTTCGTGTCATTGCCCGTATATTGATCAACATGTATGGTATGGATTTGACCGCAATCGCGGGAATGGTATTCTACGGTTTTCCCCGATGGGGTAGTGTGTGGGAAGAAATGTTTGAGTCTCTGGACCTGCCTGCCTTTGTCGTGAATTTTCACGGGCAGTGCCCGGGGCGCCGATCCAGAGGAGCCATGCAGTACCAGCTTCTTCGCGGAGTACAACAACGAACATACACGTGATGTTTGCTTGTGTTTTTTGTCACACGGACGCGGTTTCGAAGTGCCAACCGCATGCATGCATACGTGGTGATGTTGGTGGGTGTGGGAGAGGGGAGGAGATTATGTCGATGGAACAATGTATTGGTTCGAGTCTTGGCGTTTGTCTGGTAGCCGATCGCTGAGTTGTGTTTCGTTTTGTTGCCTTGTTGCACACAAGACATGGCGTCACGTGTGTGTTGGTTTGACTTTCTTTTCGTTGGTGAAGTTTCTGTACCAAGTTTTCCCAGTTGAAAGCCGCCCTGCACCTCGGGGGAGCTACACACCATCACGCACTCATACAGTATCCGAACATGGTGATCTAGGAAGGGTTCTCGACTCTTACCATGAGGAATTAGTTCAGTTTTACGGGAATGTCTGTACTGGTCGCTGCCTGGGGGCGGGGGG